TAGTATGTCTGTTGGTTCTGTTGTTCTTACTCGTTAGTACGTCTGTTGGTTCTGATGTTCTTACTCGGTAGTATGTCTGTTGGTTCTGATGTTCTTACTCGTTAGTATGTCTGTTGGTTCTGATGTTCTTACTCGTTAGTATGTCTGTTGGTTCTGATGTTCTTACTCGTTGGTATGTCTGTTTGTTCTGATGTTCTTACTCGTTGGTATGTCTGTTGGTTCTGATGTTTTTACTCGTTGGTATGTCTGTTGGTTCTGATGTTCTTACTTACTCGTTATGTCTGTTGGTATGTCTGTTGGTTCTGATGTTCTTACTCGGTAGTATGTCTGTTGGTTCTGATGTTCTTACTCGGTAGTACGCCTGTTGGTTCTGATGTTCTTACTCATTAGTATGTCTGTTGGTTCTGATGTTCTTACTCGTTAGTATGCCTGTTGGTTCTGTTGTTCTTACTCGTTGGTATGTCTGTTGGTTCTGATGTTCTGACTCGTTAGTATGTCTGTTGGTTCTGTTGTTCTTACTCGTTAGTATGTCTGTTGGTTCTGTTGTTCTTACTCGTTAGTATGTCTGTTGGTTCTGATGTTCTGACTCGTTAGTATGTCTGTTGGTTCTGATGTTCTTACTCGTTAGTATGTCTGTTGGTTCTGATGTTCTTACTCGTTAGTATGTCTGTTGGTTCTGATGTTTTTACTCGTTGGTATGTCTGTTGGTTCTGATGTTCTTACTCGGTAGTACGCCTGTTGGTTCTGATGTTCTTACTCGTTAGTATGTCTGTTGGTTCTGATGTTCTTACTCGTTAGTATGTCTGTTGGTTCTGATGTTCTTACTCGTTAGTATGTCTGTTGGTTCTGATGTTCTTACTCGGTAGTATGTCTGTTGGTTCTGATGTTCTTACTCGTTGGTATGTCTGTTGGTTCTGATGTTCATACTCGTTAGTATGTCTGTTGGTTCTGATGTTCTTACTCGGTAGTATGTCTGTTGGTTCTGTTGTTCTTACTCGTTGGTATGTCTGTTGGTTCTGATGTTCTGACTCGTTAGTATGTCTGTTGGTTCTGATGTTCTGACTCGTTAGTATGTCTGTTGGTTCTGATGTTCTGACTCGTTAGTACGCCTGTTGGTTCTGATGTTCTTACTCGGTAGTACGCCTGTTGTTTCTGATGTTCTTACTCGGTAGTATGTCTGTTGGTTCTGATGTTCTTACTCGTTAGTATGTCTGTTGGTTCTGATGTTCTTACTCGTTAGTATGTCTGTTGGTTCTGATGTTCTTACTCGGTAGTATGCCTGTTGGTTCTGATGTTCTTACTCGTTAGTATGTCTGTTGGTTCTGATGTTCTTACTCGTTGGTATGTCTGTTGGTTCTGATGTTCTTACTCGTTAGTATGTCTGTTGGTTCTGATGTTCTTACTCGTTAGTATGTCTGTTGGTTCTGATGTTCTTACTCGTTAGTATGTCTTGATGTTCTTAGTATATGTCTGTTGGTTCTGATGTTCTTACTCGTTAGTATGTCTGTTGGTTCTGATGTTCTTACTCGTTAGTATGTCTGTTGGTTCTGATGTTTTTACTCGTTAGTACCCCTGTTGGTTCTGATGTTCTTACTCGGTAGTACGCCTGTTGGTTCTGGTGTTCTGACTCGTTAGTATGTCTGTTGGTTCTGATGTTCTTACTCGGTAGTATGTCTGTTGGTTCTGATGTTCTTACTCGTTGGTATGTCTGTTGGTTCTGATGTTTTTACTCTATGTCTGTTGGTTCTGATGTTCTTACTCGGTTCTGTTGTTCTGATGTTCTTACTCGTTAGTATGTCTGTTGTTAGTATGTCTGTTGGTTCTGTTGTTCTTACTCGCTAGTATGTCTGTTGGTTCTGTTGTTCTGATGTTCTTACTCGTTAGTATGTCTGTTGGTTCTGATGTTCTTACTCGTTAGTATGTCTGTTGGTTCTGATGTTCTTACTCGGTAGTATGTCTGTTGGTTCTGATGTTCTTACTCGTTGGTATGTCTGTTGGTTCTGATGTTCTTACTCGTTGTTGGTTCTGTTGTTCTTACTCGTTAGTACGTCTGTTGGTTCTGATGTTCTTACTCGGTAGTATGTCTGTTGGTTCTGATGTTCTTACTCGTTAGTACGTCTGTTGGTTCTGATGTTTTTACCCGTTAGTATGTCTGTTGGTTCTGATGTTTTTACTCGTTAGTATGTCTGTTGGGTCTGATGGTCTTACTCGTTTGTACGCCTGTTGGTTCTGATGTTTTTACTCGTTAGTATGTCTGTTGGTTCTGATGTTCTTACTAGGTAGTATGCCTGTTGGATCTGATGTTCTTACTCGTTAGTACCCCTGTTTGTTCTGATGTTCTTACTCGTTAGTATGTCTGTTGGTTCTGATGTTCTTACTCGTTGGTATGTCTGTTGGTTCTGTTGTTCTTACCCGTTGGTATGTCTGTTGGTTCTGTTGTTCTTACTCGTTACTATGTCTGTTGGTTCTGATGTTCTTACCCGTTGGTATGTCTGTTGGTTCTGATGTTCTTACTCGTTAGTATGTCTGTTGGTTCTGGTGTTCTGACTCGTTAGTACGTCTGTTGGTTCTGATGTTCTTACTCGGTAGTATGTCTGTTGGTTCTGATGTTCTTACTCGTTAGTATGTCTGTTGGTTCTGATGTTCTTACTCGTTAGTATGTCTTCGTTAGTATGTCTGTTGGTTCTGATGTTCTTACTCGGTTAGTATGTCTGTTGGTTCTGATGTTCTTACTCGTTAGTATGTCTGTTGGTTCTGATGTTCTTACTCGGTAGTATGTCTGTTGGTTCTGATGTTCTGACTCGTTAGTACGCCTGTTGGTTCTGATGTTCTTACTCGGTAGTATGTCTGTTGGTTCTGATGTTCTTACTCGTTAGTATGTCTGTTGGTTCTGATGTTCTTACTCGTTAGTATGTCGGTTGGTTCTGATGTTCTTACTCGGAAGTATGTCTGTTGGTTCTGATGTTCTTACTCGTTAGTATGTCTGTTGGTTCTGATGTTTTTACTCGTTGGTATGTCTGTTGGTTCGTTGTTGTTGTTCTGACTCGTTAGTATGTCTGTTGGTTCTGATGTTCTTACTCGGTAGTATGTCTGTTGGTTCTGATGTTCTTACTCGTTGGTATGTCTGTTGGTTCTGATGTTTTTACTCCTCGTTAGTATGTCTGTTGGTTCTGATGTTTTTACTCGTTAGTACCCCTGTTGGTTCTGTTGTTCTTACTCGCTAGTATGTCTGTTGGTTCTGTTGTTCTTACTCGTTAGTATGTCTGTTGGTTCTGATGTTCTTACTCGTTGGTATGTCTGTTGGTTCTGATGTTCTTACTCGTTAGTATGTCTGTTGGTTCTGATGTTCTTATGTCTGTTCTTACTCGTTAGTATGTCTGTTGGTTCTGTGTTCTTACTGTTAGTATGTCTGTTGGTTCTGATGTTCTTACTCGGTAGTATGTCTGTTGGTTCTGATGTTCTTACTCGTTAGTACGTCTGTTGGTTCTGATGTTCTTACTCGTTAGTATGTCTGTTGGTTCTGATGTTTTTACTCGTTGGTATGTCTGTTGGTTCTGATGTTCTTACTCGGTAGTATGTCTGTTGGTTCTGATGTTCTTACTCGTTAGTACGCCTGTTGGTTCTGATGTTCTTACTCGTTAGTATGTCTGTTGGTTCTGTTGTTCTTACTCGTTAGTATGTCTGTTGGTTCTGTTGTTCTTACTCGTTGGTATGTCTGTTGGTTCTGATGTTCTTACTCGTTAGTATGTCTGTTGGTTCTGATGTTCTTACTCGTTAGTATGTCTGTTGGTTCTGTTGTTCTTACTCGTTAGTATGTCTGTTGGTTCTGTTGTTCTTACTCGTTAGTATGTCTGTTGGTTCTGTTGTTCTTACTCGTTAGTATGTCTGTTGGTTCTGTTGTTCTTACTCGTTAGTATGTCTGTTGGTTCTGTTGTTCTTACTCGTTAGTATGTCTGTTGGTTCTGTTGTTCTGACTCGTTAGTATGTCTGTTGGTTCTGATGTTCTTACTCGGTAGTAGGCCTGTTGGTTCTGATGTTCTTACTCGTTAGTATGCCTGTTGGTTCTGTTGTTCTTACTCGTTAGTATGTCTGTTGGTTCTGTTGTTCTTACTCGTTAGTATGTCTGTTGGTTCTGTTGTTCTTACTCGTTAGTATGTCTGTTGGGTCTGTTGTTCTTACTCGTTGGTACGTCTGTTGGGTCTGTTCTTACTCGTCAGTACGCCTGTTGGGTCTGTTGTTCTTAATCGTTAGTACGTCTGTTGGTTCTGATGTGTTTACTCGCTAGTACGCCTATTGGTTCTGTTGTTCTTACTCGTTAGAACGCCTCGTGGGTCTGTTGTTCTTACTCGTTAGTATGACTGTTGGTTCTCTTGTATGTTTGCTTGTTCTGTTGTTCTGAACTCTTGTGTTTCCTTGCGCTTATTTAAGACATTGTTCCATTAACTTTGATAATTGACCTGCTGAGGAACATATATCGGGATGGGGAAAACAAATACAAAAACAACATATGCTAATTAACCGATATCTGTAGAAAAGAAGTGGCATATACCCTTAAATTATCTTGGTATCGGGGAAGGCCACCCGACAACTAAAATCAACTAACATCAAGAACATCACCATAGCTAGGCTTACAATAAAGAAATGATAACGCGAAATACAGAGGTATGATATGCTAACGACGAAGGTAATAGATATACAGGGTATACATATTATCAGTTAAACTAGACCTAACTGACTTACTTGAGTACACAATGGACACCAATTATCAAGTGTTTACTAATATTTATCGGTGTAACTTAGATTTTATGACAACTGTATGGACGTGTATTAGTTGACAGATTACTCCAGGATATGAGGCAAATGTCATATGATTATAAATCTAAATATAGGTATATGAAGGGATAGCCGAGTTAGATAAATCGGTCATGTGATAAAACAGTATCTTCATATAAACAAAGAAACATTTGAAAGGACGACAGCGTGTGGACTAACGGACCCAACATACCCTGAAGATGAAGACTTCAACTCTCCAGTTTGTCCTCATATGTCTTTCATTTGTTGAAGTTTTTTCTTTACAAACACGTGAGTTGATACATCGAACTTGTTTTTTTTTCTTTTCGTTTTAAGTACAGCCTATGAATCATTTTACATTGCTGAGACACTACACTTAAGGCGATCAAACTGAATTATCACTGTGTACGTATGTTAGCTGAGTATACTGTAAGTACAACAGGCTTTTTAAACTTCCATGTCTAAAGTTTCCATGGCAATGCAAACAAGACTTACATGAGATTAACAAATATTTCTGTTTAAATGGAACGTTTTTATTTCATGTATAAATATTCATTTTCAACTTTAGTGACCGAAATAATTCTTTCTGAGTTCAAGGATATTCGCATTTTATCGGTTCGCTGTGTTAAGGTTGCTATGATATGCTTATAAATATCAAGATAGCAAGGATATCCAATTAATATTTCATTAATCAAAGAAGACTCTCTTCAAATGTTCGCTGTCGTTATGATTTCAATATACTTATGGATAATGTAAGTAAACACAACAAGAAGTAACGACAGAATGAAAGTTTCTGATTCATCGACAATTCCCACCGTGAAAACATTGATAATCTAAATAGGTAATGTCGCGTTCCCTAATGAGAACAAGGGTAACTGTAGCAGGGTAAAATTATCTATTTTGTTTTATCTAAATGTAACGGCTGCGCATATGAAAAAAACGCGGCCGTTGTTATGTCTCATGTTGTGACGTTTACAGGTTTGTGTTTGTGCTTGTAAGGTATGTTTTGTAACGTTGATGTGCAGTTGTTATTTGGTCAGGTATGTAAGGTTTCTTAATTTTCCTGGTTTTTCTTTAATTGTTACATTTAGATAAAATAGATCATTTTACCCTGCAACATTCTTTCCCGTTTACATGCAAAGCACATTTTCATTTTCATACGCAAAATAATGACACTAAAATACACATTTCTGCGAGAGATAAACAAAATAAAATCCCTCTGAATTCCTGTTTTTTACTGCTTTTGTTTTCTTGGGCATTGCTGACCTATTACAGTGTACATGGACGACAACTGTGTATCTACCGTGGTCACCTACGTTGACACAGCAGCTCGAATAAAGGCATCGAGATATTCCAAACTTAACCGAAACCTGAACTGTACACTGACAGTCCGGGCCAAGCCCGAGGACCAGCTGGTCGCTGTTGTCAGGTCCATGGATTCATTATGTAATTATGTGACTGTATCGGTGTACGATGGCGAAAACAGGAACCGTAAAATACAGGGTAAGATCAAACGTAATTCAGACACATCCAAATATAAACGTGTACCACAGGTGTATACATCGATAAGCTAGAGTGTGCTGTCGTGATTATCGATGATTTAATGTCCAGTTTTTATATCTTACGATTTCTATGATAGAGTAAGATTCTACGAATTTTTCGTGTGCTTTACCTGTATATTTTGTTTTACCAGATATGTGTGGGCTGTCTGCATACAATTTGCCAAAGAAAACATTTACTTCTACTCGAAACGCTTTAACATTCAATTTGATGACAGCGTCAACAATTTCTTCCAGTGCATATGACATCATAGTGACATCATACAGTAGAGGTAAAATCATTGTCATGGTTCAGTGTCAGAAAATTGTAAAATGATTGTCATGGATCAGTGCCAGAAAATTGTAATATCATTGTCATGGATCAGTGCCAGAAAATTATAAAATCATTGTCATGGTTTAGTGCCAGAAAATTGTAAACTAACACAAGTAATTAGCTTAAAGTCACCAATTTAAAAATATAATAAATGAACAATGATAATTTATCAATGCCTTGTTGCATAGGTCAACTCTTTTCCTATTTTAAGCACAACAAAGATTTAATTGACGAAAAAGTTGCAGGATAAAGGTTAAGTTTGTTTTATTATTTGTACGTTTTTAGAAAGGCCCTTAGAGGTTTTTTTTTCAATAAATGTAGAAATATCTCCTGCTAAAGCATGCCATATTGTTCCCCTAGGTACCTGTACGTTTGGGTTCCAGTGTGATAACAGCCGATGTATCGACAGCAGTCTCTCCTGTAACGGCTATAATAACTGCGGTGACAACAGTGACGAATACCTGTGTAGTAGCACCATCGTTCTCGGAGCAGGTGTTATCGTGGCGATCGTACTAGGCGGATGTTTTGTCGTAATATGTCTCCCGATCATCATTGTTGTGTCAATATTTCGTCGTAGACGGACATACGGCAGGTTTTAATGACAGAAGTCAACATATACCTGTTATCCTGATAGAGAATGTTTTCAGCAACATTTCGACTACAGTTGCCCTGAATGGACTATTTGTTGTTTTCGTACATCAGTCTTAAACATTGCTTTAACATGTAATAACTTTATTCCTAGCACAGGCGAGTATGGTGATGGGGATATCATTTATTTCAAATGTGAATCATGTACATCGCCAAAGTTAGTATTAGAATTGTACTGTTCCGTGTTCTCGACTCGAGTTTAAGTATATGGCGGTAATAATATGTCGTTGTAAAAATGGACGTCGAAGTTGATGACGTCATCAATTTGTGATATGAAATCGTGTGAGAAGTGTTTTAGCACGTTCTATCTGGCACACCCAAGGGGTTAACAGAGGGACCACTCCTAGGTAATGATGGCGAAGATTTAAACATATAAAACGGGGAACGTATCCGCAAAAACCCGTTGTCTTGTGGTTTGTTGTGTGAAATAGCACGGTGTTTCCCATGGCGCTTCTGTTATATGGATATTACAAAACACATTAGAAAATATTTTACCACTGCAGGTTTTGCTATCTGTTCAAATGATATTGTTAAAAACTGCATTGGAATGATCGATTTTCAAACTTAGATTACTCGACGAAGAAAGAATGCATAATGAAAGCTATAAACAAGGATTTCGTTTGTTCGTATATATTTCTGCTCGTTGTTAACTGTTCCAGTCTGATTTAATAACAGGCACTGTTCGGACTGGAAATTTGTATACATATGAAAGAAGATAGTAAATAAAATTTAATCTATTTAATTATACAATTCAATCATATATCATATGGATTACTTTTCCTATGTTAGTACATGACTTCTGAATTATCCATCGCTTAGCTTACTTAATCTACAAGTTCCAGCAAACGTACATGTAGTTGCAATGTACATACTATCACAATATGCGTAGGCCTACCGACTGATATTTATAACGGAGATAAGATTTAGGCCTGAGATAGTCTGTATCAAACTACGATAGTGTGATGTCTAAACACCAACGATAACACTGAGATGTTAATAAACAAATTACCAGAGGCTAGGGCTAATTTAAACCACGCTTGGACATGGCAATAAAATTTATATTCAAACTCAACTTTGACCAAACCGGCAAAATATGAGCAAAGTAAATAAGCGTCCCAGAAGGGTAAGCGTTTTCGTTATGGTATCTTATAAAAATATATCAATTCTAATTATTTCAAATAGCACGATTGTCATACAGATGGAAGTAAAAGTTGTGGTTTTGACAACCAAACAACAGCGGACATGGTAAAACCATTGTATCACACAACAACATTTCTTGACGTTGACCAAAACATCCTTCAATAATCACTATACGTACGCGCCTCTGTTGTGCTTATTTGTCCACAAGTTTGTAACAAATCACAAAACCAATTTTGAGAAAAGTATATTAACAAAACATGGTTGGAATTTAATGACGACATAAAAAGGATTTAACAGAGCCACATTAAAAAAACAACCTTTTAGACCAGATGCCCGCAAATAGAACGCGTCCGGTGTAACAACCTAGTTAGAAAGTATGAATTCTAATAGAGTAGTTAAACCGATCTGTTAACTAATGGCTATCACAAACGTCTATTTCTTTATCAAACAAGTACATAGGATCGACCTACTATAATTATCATAGTGATGTCATCAAACTTCCGACAGGCTTCCTGTTTCAGGCTTGTCCGTCAGCACAACAATCGTGATATTGAAAATAAAACAAACTTGTCAATTAGTTTCGGCGCTCTGACATCCACACATCTCTAATAAAACACCAATAATGCCAATATGATACGTCAATGCCTGTCACCAAGGTGACCAGAGACGTTTCCATGAAGGAAAATACTTAACCATTGGAGAAGATGTATCTTCGGACAAATATGGTAAAAATAGATTTCCTTAACTTTATTCTAGTTATACCGTGCAGAGCAATCTAGTATTGTAAGTGTTGGGTTTACCAGAGAGGTCTCCACAGTGTACGCTATCTGGTAAGTCTGGTACGATATATTTGATTAGACAACATAGGATCAGATAAGACTATATTAATAGATAATACTACGTATTAAAGTTGATACCAACATCATACAATGTTTTGTGATACTCACTAAAGATTTCCCGATAAGGTGGAGATTACTTATTGTTCGTACTTAAATCTCGGTAATGTTTCAAATATACACGACCGACGGACAAAGTCGAGCAGATTTGCCAATAGTGTGAGTTAAATGCAAAACTGAATAAAGAAAGAAAGAAATCTCGGAGAAACCTTGCCTAAATCTCAATCTCTAGAAGTCAATTTGTCAATGTCAATGTTGCATTTCCCCAGTTCATTCCAATTGGAAGTTCAAGATCAATGGTAAACCACGGAGGCAATATGCCATCGGCTTGACTCGGCTATCTCCAGATTGTACCACACAATGTTCTAGTGAGATCTTTCACCACATGCCGTTTGGTATATAATAAATAAAACCATGTTTGTGTCGTTCTGTGTTGGACTATTGTGATACAGAGGTAAAAAGATGGAAATCCAAATTGAAGGCTTGAAGAAAAGACAAAGAAATACTGATATGCCATCAGAATCCTAATTCAAACTCAAATTCGATGGAACTTACAAGAAGAGTCATGAAAAAGTACAAGGAGAATAAGACCAGGTGTTCATGAATGGTAAGCAATTTCCGCGTTATCAACGTTCCCAAATGAAAAAAAAAACGACCGCCAAAAGACGTGTGAATAAAGAGTAAGTCCATAAGACTAAAATATAACTGAAATTAAATAACTCATTTCAATGACCTCGATATATTGACCTATACCTATATATCTACTAAGTTCTACCCATTTAGTAATATCAGACATATATGTATGTACCTCACATAGGACACGTGCCGTCACGTGTTTACGATTTTATCCCCGTAAGAAAGTACGGGCAATGTGGAAAAGGAGCACGTGAAATTGTTTAACTTAAACATTATCATCTTAGCTACATCAAAAACATGTTTCTTATGATTATTCATGTTTATGCAATCGATAACTGCAAGAAGAATCGTTTATAATAATACATTTCGAAAGCAGCTAAAAGCTTTCAAGTTCATTCACATAAATTATAATTTGACGGACAACTTCGAAAAAGGTTGCAAATAAGCAGCAAGAAAAATACCAACATGTCAACATAACAATAATCCAAACTCAAATTCCACAAAACTAGGGGAAAATATAAAAAAAGAAAGATTTACATGGAGACTCCTGAAAAAGTACAAGGAGAATAAGACCATGTGTTTCGGAGGAGTAAGCGTCTTCTGCTTCGTCGACGACACCCGCCATGTGAACCTTTGTAAATCCAATTAAGTAATGCCAAATTCTCAATTGAGAACTAGTTGATATAGAAGAGGCTGCCATGTCCTTTCTTTCTTTTTTTCTGATGGGTATATACATAGATGTGGTCAATAAATTATCAATAAATTATTTTTTAATAAACACGACATTCCTTTATCCTGTATTATCAGCTCTTCACCTGTCGTACACGAACCTGTGTGTTGATATCCTATGATTTTGTGACCAGATATACACAGGTTATCAATGAGTCTATTGTGTGAGGTCATATAGACATCCAAACGCTGTGTTAATCAGTTGTATAACGGCGCAACACGTCTTCAGTTTTCTGTGATCATTTGCAAATTAACAGCTGGAAATGGAAAAGTTTGTTTTACAACTGGCCGTGATGTGTTGCATAGCAACGCGGGCAATCTCCATGACAACAGGTAACATATATGTGTGTCATACATAGTCATACTACGGAAGATACTCTTTCAGTGTAGTTTTGTCTTTACTAAACATATAAACGCATAAACCAGGCGTGATATTGAATACACCTTGTATAAATCTATACATACATGTATTTCAAAGAACGTTAGTACAGAAGCTTACTGCTAAATGTTTCTGGATGCGTAAGCTAATTCTTAATATCAACTAAACATGAGACGAGATTCTAGACTGAAATACTAAGGTGTAGGTTTCAGGAATTTGTCCTGATACTGTAACCATTTTGTTACCAGTATATGTTCAAACAACTTCATCGAACTCTGTATAAGGTAACCAACGTACAAAAATATTCAGTATAAACCCTAGCCAACCTTTTCGTCCAGCGTTCTTTTTTTAATCCCTAGCTCATTTTCTATTACCAGTGTATACTTTGAAGCCATCTTTCGCCTATGTCTGAATCTATAGTCTTTTTTATTACCAGTGAATATATCGAGGCCAGATTTCGCCTTGGTCTGAATCTCTAGCTCATTTTCTGTTATCCGTGTTTATTCAAACGCCATCTTTCGCCTTAGTCTAAATCTATAGTCCTTTTTATTACCAGTGCATATTTCGATGTCACCATTCGTTTCTTTCCTAATCTATAGTCCATTTTTATTACCTGTTTATATTCCCAAGAAACCCTTTGCTTCCGTCTGAATATAGAGCTCCTTTCTATTACCAATGAATATTTCGAAGCCATCTTCGCTCCGGTTTGACTCTGTAGTCCCCTTTTAGTTACCAGTGTATATTTCGAAGCCAATTTTCGCCTTAGTCTGAATTCATAATATTTTTTGTTTACCAATATATTTCGAAGTAACCCTTCGTCTCAGTATGAATCTACAGTCCCATTATATTACCAGAGTATATTTCGAAGTCACCATTCGCCTCGGTTTGAATCTATATCTTTTTTATAACCATGTATATGTCGAAGTCACGCTTCGCCTCGGTCTGAATCTATATCTTTTTATTACCATGTATAGTATATTTCGAAATCACGCTTCGCCTCGGTCTGAATCTATATCTTTTTATTACCATGTATAGTATATTTCGAAGTCACGCTTCGCCTCGGTCTGAATCTTTTTATTAACAGTGTATATGGATGACCACTGTAATAAGACGTTTATAGTGGATGATTCTGTGAGGATCGTGTCCTCTAGAGGTGACTACTTGAGGGCGAGGACGTCATGTAACATCTTCCTCATGTCTAACAGCAAGGAGACGAACGAGCTCGTCCACATACGCACCTTTAATATCACATGTGCCCAAGGTTTTCTGACGCTTTACGACGGAAAGGGGATTGTACCCAATAATATAGTAGGTAGGTTTCAACCATCCCCTCAAATGTCTTCATGAAATCTTCTCAAAACCATAGCGTGCAGTCAAGTAAACTGTAAAATTCTTGTCAAAATATTGAAATGTAAAACATTAATCTAATGTATTTTATGGGGCCTGTGCACCTCTTTATTGAAGTTCTGACTTCGTGTTTAGCTTTTCCTCAGTCACCTTCAAGGCCTCAAACTTGATCCCCTTTAAGCATCCCTGACGAGCCCAAGAAGGACGAAACAACTGTAAGATGCAGCTGAATTCGTTGTTTGTCTCTGCTGTATCTAACTCTAAAATTCTATCAAAAGTTACTGTTCATTTGTGTTTGTTTTGTACAACCTTTTAGCACTTGGGCTTTGTGGTCAAAAGTCGAGACTTCCGCTGACGGTGTTCAATTCAACACTTCACGGATTTACACTCGCGTTAACTACAGATAACTGGAACTTCCATGGCGGATTTGATATACTGGTGACTTCATATTTCAAAGGTATGTAATGAAAGCTTTTAAGGGGAACTTTATAATTGATTAATAAGTATGTATGGTAATACATTTTAAATATGTGTGTTAAATAATGTATTTTAATGTCATTTCAATGCATTTTCGAATTATTAGACAAAATTTAAGTCATTACATGTGATAAAATGATATTACGGAATATCGACATCGACATCCGCTATATCTCAATGTCGATATAATAAGTTATACATACTTCCCTAACATAGTTCATGTTTTAATTGTAGATGGTCCATGCTCTGTACGTGAGTACGAATGTTCCAATAAATGGTGTATCGCCCGGAACCTCCACTGTGATGGCTATGACAACTGCGGTAACGCTAGTGACGAAACGCACTGCTCCGGCGGTGGTGCTCGACATTCAAGTTCGTCATATCTTATAATGACGGTATTCCTGTTCTTATTCAGTATCTCCCAAAAGCTACGAACATAACCGTCATTGCATCAGGTTATTGACCAATACAAAATCGTGATATAGAGAGGTTCACGCGCATGAAAATCTATGTCATTATATCGTTTACTATTGGGATAAAATCTCTGTTTGTATATTGTTTATGCTGGGGAGTTCACCATTTGGACGAAATATTTGTTATATATTATTTACCCTCAAGGTTTACTGTAGTGTGAAGTACCTTTTTGGTATATTGCTAAAGCCCGGGGTTTGCTGCTGCGGGGAAGCCACTGTCAGTATACCATTCATGCTCCGGTTACATAATATGTAAATGTTGGATGGAGAGCTCTGTCAGTGCTTGTATATACATGTATATATTGTTTATATTCGGGGCTTACTGTAAGACTACATAATATCAATTGTAAAAAATCTAATATCCACAACGCATTCTACTAATTAAATGATTGAGTGATTCATCCTTTAAAGTTCTACCATTTAGTAACGACCATTGAAATGTTCTTGGCTTTTCCTCAGGGTTTTACATTTAACAGTTGGAATAATTGAGGATTATAAAGCCCACGGCGATACCAGGTTTTTTGCGCCCAACTTTGTCTTATCTTCATTTGTTCTTTAAAAGTTTATCTTTTTCCTTCTTTTCTCTTTTTTATTATTTGCTCTAAACTAGGAAGCAATCATAATCTTCAACTGTCAAATAAAAGATGGCCAACCATTATTATCATTTTGTTTTCTCTGACAGCCATGAAATCAAAAGAGACTAAGGAAACCTATATACATGTATTAAGCACTAGGTATATCCATCCCATACTTTTCCAGAAATAACGATAACAAATAACAATGTCCCATCCCGTCGACCATTTTGTTTTTTTCCTCTTATAATCAAAATAAAATTTGCACAACTTGGGACTAAGGAAATCCTACACAAAAAGATTGAGACTGATCTGCCCAGTGCTTACTAGCAAGTCGTGATAACAAATTTCCATAATCATAATCCAAGATGGCCGCCTGTCAGTTATTTTGTTTTTCTGATCAGTCTCAAAATTTAAAGAGAACAATTAGAGGCAAAGGATTACCTACAAAATATGATATAAAATATCCATCAAGTACTTCGCAAGAAGTGACAACAGATTTTCAATCAAAATCCAAGAAGGCTGAAGGCCGAAAACAAAAGGGAACCTGAATATGAAGTTTGGGAAAGATCCATCCGGTACTTATCGAGAAACGACCAAGGTAAACCTACACATAAAGTTTAAAGAATGATCCATCGAATGCTTCGTACCAAAATAGCGTTAACAAACTATTACTCTCAAAATCAACAATGGACACCTGTCGGCCATGTTTTTTTTTCTGGAAGAGTCCGAAAATGTGACAACGCAGAATTGGGGACCAACAAAACTGGTTTAAAGGACAGACGCACGGACCTCGGACGTAGGGCGATTTGAAAAGACAACACGACTATACGTTGTGTGTCAATTTCCAATTCCTTAATGAACTAGGCATTATGATTCCGTTGACAAGTTGGTATTTTTGTGATGTTATTTTCATTTTTAATTAACCTTCTGACTTTTATGTGTTGACATGTATTTGCTGTTTTAATGATCACAGCTTTTAAAGGACAACATCAGTCTCATATCCTATTACACAAATGTTAACTGACAAAAGACAGACAACGTCAGTCCCTTATCCTATTACACAAATATTAACTGACAAAAGACAGACAACATCAGTCTCTTATCCTATTACACAAATGTTAACTGACAAAAGACAGACAATGTCAGTCCCTTATCCTATTACACAAATGTTAACTGACAAAAGACAGACAACGTCAGTCCCTTATCCTATTACACAAATGTTAACTGACAAAAGACAGACAACATCAGTCTCATATCCTATTACACAAATGTTAACTGACAAAAGACAGACAATGTCAGTCCCTTATCCTATTACACAAATGTTAACTGACAAAAGACAATGTCAGTCCCTTATCCTATTACACAAATGTTAACTGACAAAAGACAGACAACGTCAGTCCCGTAACCTAATACATCAATAATGTTAACTGACAAAAGACAGACGATACATCTGTCCTGGGTAAGACAATTCATTTATACTCTGAATCAACAAAAGAACAGAATAAACATGGAAGTTAGGTTTAATAGAGATGAAAAAACAATCTGACATGATATTGCACACACTCTTTCCTACATCTGTTTATTTTGATTTTAAGCATGAGCTATGACGTTCATGCTTTCCTTAGCTCAGTGAGTAAATGGAACGTTGAGTAAAGGGACATAACCCCACCTACAAACAATTAGTCATGATATTAAAGATCAGCTGATAATTTGAGTAACATTTTTGTTAAAAAAAGTGTTAGGCAAACTTATTTGGACAAGTTAATTGAAAATCTTCCTTGATGCACTACAAATACATGAAATGCAAAAATAAGTTTGAATACAGAGAGGAAAAAATGTTCATATCAACAGTTTTTGTAAACCATTTAGGCCTATAAGAGTCATCAATACACTTACCTCATTGATACAAATATACCTAGGAGTCATCCATACTTCTTCGATATTAAGTAATAATCACGAGTCATCTCTACCTCTCTGATACTAATTAATAATCACGTGCCATCTCTACCTCTCTGATACTAATTAATAATCACGTGTCATCTCTACCTCTCTGATACTAATTAATAATCACGTGTCATCTATACCTTTCCCATACTAATTAATAATCACGAGTCATCTATACCTCTCTGATACTAATTAATAATCACGTGTCATCTCTACCTCTCTGATACTAATTAATAATCACGTGTCATCTCTACCTCTCTGATACTAATTAATAATCACGTGTCATCTCTACCTCTCTGATACTAATTAATAATCACGTGTCATCTCTACCTCTCTGATACTAATTAATAATCACTTGTCATCTCTACCTCTCCCATACTAATTAATAATCACGTGTCATCTCTACCTCTCTGATACTAATTAATAATCACGTGTCATCTATACCTTTCCCATACTAATTAATAATCACGTGTCATCTATACCTCCTCTCCCATACTAATTAATAATCACGTGTCATCTATACCTCTCTGATACTAATTAATAATCACTTGTCATCTATACCTTTCCCATACTAATTAATAATCACGTGTCATCTCTACCTCTCTGATACTAATTAATAATCACTTGTCATCTATACCTTTCCCATACTAATTAATAATCACGTGTCATCTCTACCTCTCTGATACTAATTAATAATCACTTGTCATCTATACCTCTCTGACGTGTCATCTCTACCTCTCTGATACTAATTAATAATCACGTGTCATCTATACCTCTCTGATACTAATTAATAATCACGATCATCTATACCTCTCCCATACTAATTAATAATCACGTGTCATCTCTACCTCTCTGTCATCTATACTATACTAATTAATAATCACGTGTCATCTCTACCTCTCTGATACTAATTAATAATCACGTGTCATCTCTACCTCTCTGATACTAATTAATAATCACTTGTCATCTCTACCTCTCCCATACTAATTAATAATCACGTGTCATCTATACCTCTCCCATACTAATTAATAATCACGTGTCATCTATACCTTTCCCATACTAATTAATAATCACGTGTCATCTCTACCTCTCTGATACTAATTAATAATCACTTGTCATCTATACCTTTCCCATACTAATTAATAATCACGTGTCATCTCTACCTCTCTGATACTAATTAATAATCACGTGTCATCTCTACCTCTCTGATACTAATTAATAATCACGAGTCATCTATACCTCTCCCATACTAATTAATAATCACGTGTCATCTCTACCTCTCTGATACTAATTAATAATCACGAGTCATCTATACCTCTCCCATACTAATTAATAATCATGTGCCATCTATACCTCTCCGATCCTAATTAATATTCACGTGCCATGTATACTTCTCCCATACTAATTAATAATCACGTGTCATCTATACCTCTCCCATACTAATTAATAATCACGTGTCATCTATACCTCTCCCATACTAATTAATAATCACGTGTCATCTATACCTTTCCCATACTAATTAATAATCACGTGTCATCTATACCTCTCCCTTACTAATTAATAATCATGTGTCATCTATACCTCTCTGATACTAATTAATAATCACGTGTCATCTATACCTTTCCCATACTAATTAATAATCACGTGTCATCTCGTCTCTGATACTAATTAATAATCACTCTCCCCTCTCTGATACTAATTAATAATCACGTGTCATCTATACCTTCCCATACTAATTAATAATCACGTGTCATCTATACCTCTCTGATACTAATTAATAATCACGTGTCATCTACCTCTTCCATACTCCCATACTAATTAATAATCACGTGACATCTACACTTTAATAATCCGTGTCATATTCTCCCATACTTTAATAATCACGTGTCATCTATACCCCTCCCATACTAATTAATAATCATGTGTCATCTATACCTCTCCCATACTAATTAATAATCACGTGACATATACACTTTAACCCATACTTATTAATAATCCCGTGTCATCTATACCTCTCCCATACTAATTAATAATCACGTGACATCTACACTTCTCCGATACTAATTAATAATCACGTGTCATCTATACCTCTCCCATACTAATATTAATAATAATCACGTGACATCTACACTTTCCCATACTTATTAATAATCACGTGTCATCTATACCTCTCCCAATTAATAATCATGTGTCAATTAATAATAATCATGTGTCATCTATACCTCTCTGATACTAATTAATAATCACGTGTCATCTATACCTTTCCCATACTAATTAATAATCACGTGTCATCTATACCTCTCCCATACTAATTAATAATCGCGTGACATCTACAGTTTAACCCATACTAATTAATAATCACGTGACATCTACACTTTAACCCATACTTATTAATAATCACGTGTCATCTATACCCCTCCCATACTAATTAATAATCATGTGTCATCTATACCTCTCCCATACTAATTAATAATCACGTGTCATCTATACCTCTCCCATACTAATTAATAATCACGTGACATCAACACTTTAACCGATACTAATTAATAATCACGTGTCATCTATACCTTTCCCGTACTAATTAATAATCACGAGTCATCTATACCTCTGATACTAGTTAATAATCACGTGTCATCTTTACCTCTCTGATACTAATTAATAATCATGTATCATCTATACCTCTCCCATACTAATTAATAATCATGAGTCATTTATACTTCTTCTCCCATACTAATTAATAATCACGTGTCATCTATACCTCTCCCTTACTAATTAATAATCATGTGTCGTCTATACCTTTCCCATACTTATTAATATTCACCTGTCATCTATACCTCTCCCATACGAATTAATAATCATGTGTCGTCTATACCTCTCCCATACTAATTAATATTCACCTGTCATCTATACCTTTCCCATACTAATTAATAATCACGAGTCATCTATACCTCTCCCATACTAATTAATAATCACGTGCCATCTATACCTCTCCCATACTAATTAATAATGATGTGCCATCTATACCTCTGATACTAATTAATAATCACGTGATATCTACACTTTAACCGATATTAATTAATAATCATGTGTCATCTATACATCTCCGATATTAATTAATAATCATGTGTCATCTATACCTCTCCCATACTAATTAATAATCATGTGTCATCTATACCTCTCTGATACTAATTAATAATCACGTGTCATCTATACCTCTCTGATACTAATTAATAATCACGTGTCATCTCTACCTCTCTGATACTAATTAATAATCATGTGTCATCTATACCTCTCTGATACTAATTAATAATCACGTGTCATCTATACCTCTCTGATACTAATTAATAATCACGTGTCATCTCTACCTCTCTGATACTAGTTAATAATCATGTGTCATCTATACCTCTCTGATACTAATTAATAATCATGTGTCATCTATACCTCTCGGATACTAATTAATAATCACGTGTCATCTATACCTCTGATACTAGTTAATAATCACGTGTCATCTATAACTTTCCCATACTAATTAATAATCACGTGTCATCTATACCTCTGATACTAGTTAATAATCACGTGTCATCTATATCTCTCCCATACTAATTAATAATCACGTGTCATCTATATCTCTCCCATACTAATTAATAATCCTGAGTAATCTATACCTCACTGATTACAATTCCTGGATATCTCCCCTTACACAGAACAGACATATATTTTTACAAATCACAATTTTAATGTGCAAGATTAAAATCAGCGTCAGTACAGGATAATGATTTTCTTTTCTTTCAAATCAATCAAATATATGACACTTATGTCATTCACTCATTCACTGGCTACACATAGATACACATGTACCACCCACTTGCTACACATTAATATACATTATCACTCATAGTCTTCAAGTCACCCACACAACTCATACATCATTCACAAATCAAGAGAGATTCACGCTGAGAAAAACATTGTATTGGAAAACATAATTTAAATTGAGGATACTTTGTAATATTTTCAATGTTTTCTAGAATATCAAGTTTAAATTGTTCTACTTCACTGGCTGAATAAGAACACCTTCTAATCAATGATAACAAACATATATACAGTAGTAACTGTACATTCTCACATACTGATGCTCATTTAATATCATCTTTTACCTATATTCGAAATTACTCAGCAATCTTTCAACAACCTAATTGGAAAATTGGAAAATCAACAAACACACAATTTCAATCCAAGACTTTGGTAAGATTGATGATGCAGGTTGTGTTTGGCAACATCGACCATGTCCATCACATATTAAAATGACACACTATGTTAAGGAACCTCCTTTAATTGATACCTGTGTAAACTTTAGAAGTACTTGTCCTATTAATGAAAACACAAGTCACTCACAAATAAATTAAATGAAAAATAAATCTTGTGAAAAGAAATTGATCATTGTGATGGCATAATAACAAACATCAGTCCAGTGTCTTTTGTAATCTTGATCAAGATTTGAACACATTGAGGCTGTTATGATCAGCAGCTCAATTCTATCATGTAAACTGTAAAATTTTGAAGACTTCCATGAATACTTAAAGTTAACTTCCTATATACAACGTTACAAAACCAGCTGACAAACATATTTTATCTTCTTAAACTCATTTCAAACTAAATATCTGTAGTATTCTGTAGATGATACATTTCTACACTGTGTTTTTCATCATAAAATTTTGGGGTAATTTTTCTTCTCTTTTTCATTTTCCAGAAAATTGCACAACATGAAAGAAGTACAACCTGGTATGCCTGTTTTGACATGTCAGACTAAAATGCTCCAGATAATTCACTTCCTAGAAATCTATCAAACAAAAATGTATAAAGCATTCTAGAAATTATCACTAGGTGTTAAGTAAGCTTGTTATTTCAGAAATAACATGAAGAATTTTAGTAAATGTCCTTATTCCTGTATAATGCTGTGTAACTACAATATTCACTACTAAACTAGCAACATCATTTATCAATGTTTTAGGGAAAAGAAACACATGCATCATTTATGCAGAAATCAATATATTGCGTTCATATTTGTGGTAATCACAACATGTCATAACAAAACTCTCACTTTTAAATTAACAGTAACAAATATAGAATACTAAGTGAATGTAATCAATGTCTTCGCATCTTCCTCTCCATTTTTTTCGCCTTCTTTTCATCAACTTCAGGAGGTGGTGCAAATATCCAAGGTGCCAAGATATTTACCCACAGCATGTAGAATGCTCTTCCAGGAACCTATAGAAAATTCATCATTGTAGGAGACTTGTATTTTATAAACAATCAATAGCCAAGCATTAATATTTAAATCATAGGACAATACCTCTGTCAGACCACGTACATACAGTCATGATTTCAGGAGTAATTCTTACACTTTCTTATAGCCTAATGACATTTATTATAAATCAATGCATATTTTTTTAAATTAATAAATCATAGTCTGAATTATATTTCATAGAAAATTATATCCTATTGGTCTGGGACAATTGAATTTAAGCACAGCACAGAAATGGAGGATACTTACCAGTAACCATAACAACCAGAAATAGTTAGACAGTAGACTGGCACTCTGTACTATAGATGTGAAAAGGATAAGATCCTTAGCATGTCTACAACAGACAGAATACCATTTACATCACAATTTGAATACATGTAAAATCAACATTCAAAAGAAACAGACACATACTAAAATCATTATAGTAAAATAGCCATAACTCCGGAAAAACAAGAGGCCCATAGTGCCTGTATCAGTAAACTGACAAAATTGATTCCACTTCATGCAAAAATGCTTCACACCAAATTTGGTCATAATACAATAATTCCCACAAAAAGAGTAGGATCTTAAAGAATTTGCTCTATTTCTGTTATTGGCCCCCAGAGGGTTGAGTTACACATCTCTGTAGCTTTCTAGATCTATTTATCTAAAATGTAAACTTACTCTGACATTCCTGATTCCATGTTGAGGTCAAGGCCTCCATCTATCAGAGCTCCTTCTGGGGTGTATTTTGCCTGGGCCATACTCTGCATAAATTTGTAACTTCCCAGGCATGTAAGGACTGCCGATACACCAAGAAACTGAGAAGACAGAAAAATAATGAGTAAAGAATGAAACATAAAGTTTCTTCCTATAACAATTGATATGTCCTAATGCACAATCATATCACAGAAGTAATGCAATGGTCATGTTATACTGATTCATACAATAAGACCACTGCTCTAATGTAACATCATCTACATTTGTGGTATATAAGTCATATAAGATATTATCTACATTTTGTATATCTGATCTCAGAAATGATCTAAATTTTGTATATCAGCTCTCAGAAATGATCTACATTTTGTGTATCAGCTCTCAGAAATGACCCACATTTTGTGTATCAGATCTCAGAAATGACCTACATTTTGTGTATCAGATCTCAGAAATGACCTACATTTTGTGTATCAGATCTCAGAAATGATCTAAATTTTGTATATCAGCTCTCAGAAATGATCTACATTTTTGTATCAGCTCTCAGAAATGATCTACATTTTGTGTATCAGATCTCAGAAATGACCTACATTTTGTGTATCAGATCTCAGAAATGACCTACATTTTGTGTATCAGATCTCAGAAATGACCTACATTTTGTGTATCAGATCTCAGAAATGATCTACATTTTGTGTATCAGATCTCAGAAGAAAGGTAATCCAGTTCTATAGGATAATTGATTGATCAGCTTTGAGCTTATTGGATCAGAGTATATAAATCTGTGCTATATCAATGTACAAATACATAATTTTTGTTCTCATGTGCTGCAAGGCCAAAATGCTGTATCAATGAATGTAAATCTTAATTGTTAGATTTTAAATAAATAGATATGTTGCTGGAAACTTTATGACCATTAGATGACAAATAAGCATGGATAATGAACAATTTTAGTTAATATACATAAAAAATTCTGACTTACCATATAAAACACTGTGAAGCTGTCCCAGAACAACCAGTACTGAAGCATCCAATATACTCCCTGACATCAAAACAAAATAAATGTATTGTCATCCAGTGCTAAATATAAAACACTTCATCATTTTTTGTTCCAATGCCCTCTATATCGAACATTATAGGCACCACATCATCTTGGTATATAGTATGTTGGGTATATAAATCACTTAATTTTATTGTGTGGTGCTATTTATATGTCAGATGAAATCAATAATGATATATTTTATCATACTGGTTTATATTTTAAAAACTCAATTGTTGATATTCCATTTCTTTCAGATTTACACACAAAGAAAAAAGAAAGTGTTGTCTCCATTTGATGATCTTTTTGGCCACTCAACTTCATAGTCATAATTATACTGAGTCAATACAAATATTTATACAATCTGTTTGTGTGAAGAGCAAGTGGGAGAGCAATAATCCATTATTCATTGCTGTTTTTGTGTCTTATTTCTCTTTCTGATACAATATTATCAGTTGCGGATATACTTCGGAAAAAGACTGATATAGAAATGACCTTTTGTCTTATCTTCTTCATATAACGGTTATTGTATTATATGTAGGATTGAATATGTTACATAAATAATAAAATATTTTTGAATGAAAATTAACATCCAGTATACCCCTGCTATTACTCAGTTTCAATTAAAAAAAACACACACACACTTGTATCTAAATTATACATACAATGATGTTAAGTATTTGATCTGACATATATATCACATAATGATATTGATATGTCCAGACTGTCTCCTACAGTATCATACAAATTAGTTGTACTTTGTGCACTGCATGATCAAATTTGCGGAGCTCAGTATCATTTAACATGTATTTTGTGATTTGTTTATATGTCACCTTGGAACCTTGACAAAGTTTGTATAAATATAAAGTGTTTACTCACATTTACACTGAGCAGGATATACTGGTAAAATTGAAGTGTCTTTTTATTTTCCTCCACAATCTGTTTCTGGCCTTTAGTTAAAGGTTTCCCTTTCGGCTAAAATAAAAAAAAGTTACATTATGTACAATGTACAATGTATTTGAAAATCTTATTATAACAGAACATTATGTGTTTCTGTTTCAAATCATCATGCCATTTGAGTAACAAATGTATAACTTGAAGCATTGATTGTCACTAATTATATAGAATGCAAGACTATTATGTCTAGTTGTGCTTATCTAGACTAAAAAATTCTGTCTTTAAAATAATGGTCATTTAATGTCACTATTTACATTTATTATGCTGTTATGGATTATTTAAAATCTTTACTGGTCATGCTCATTTTTTGAGACAGAATGGAGCTGTTCATAGAAGTGGTAGAAATGGGTCCACCATGGAGATAGTGAATGAAACAGTTATTCCTTCAACATATCCAGAAATAATGGGTTTTATTTCAAAACAAAACAAGTTTATTTGCCTCCCTAACCTTTTACAGACCTTATAGTTTGCTATTTTTAAGAAGTGTGTTGTTTTCTCTCACCACTTCAACTTCAAATATAATGGCAGTGCCATTACTAATTATACTAATTACAGTCTGACACCATCTGGTATTGACCGTCTAGAAATACTGGACTGTGTCTGATTGCTTTGAAATCAACCAAGATTTCAGTGTACATGGTGGGAATAATTGTTTAATTCACTGCATCCATGCATGATGGATGCATTTCTACCACTTTGATCAACATCTGTGTTCTAAACTTATATATCAATAGCAGCATAATATAGTCAATATTGACACTGAATTATGATTTAAGAGATGTAAATTTCGCTTCAGTCCTCATCAACATCAACATAAAAATTGTCAATGTACATGTATCTCTATGCTAAACATACTTAAAGTGATATATCAATTCCAAATTAAAGGTTTTCGTGTTCGGCGGTAATTATGATACCGTCGACATCAATTTCCAGAACAGCTGTTTTCAACTCTTTGTTGAACAGTTGATACCAAAATACATCTTTTCATCACAGCACTCGGATTTCTGTTGTGCACAGGCACATGTATCTTGAACGTAAACATCACGAACACTATGCATCACACACATTAGTATACATATTGGACTGGATTTTGGCTCGAATTTTTTACGCTTCAGATTGACAGACACAGGTGCCTGTGTGTTGTGTTACTCTGGTGTATTGATCAAAGCACTTTCGATGGGTTTTTCATTTTTATCACAAATGTAATGAACACATTAATTATTTATATGTATTCCAAAAGATAAAGCATCCTTGCAAGTGAAAATGTGTATAACTTACAGGCATATTGACGTGTTTCTGTTTTCGCCTTGCAGCACGCACCGGCAAAACGATGAAACGTGGGCAGTCTAAATGTGTTTTCAACTCTAATACATAATGACGTTAACATTAAACGCAGATATGACGAAGATCAGATGATCGCAATAATATAATGGGCGTGCTCCGGTGAAGAATTTACGGAATAAAGATAAACAATCCATTTTATCGTTATGTTGTGTAATAGACGTCTTTGTTCCACTTATATATATACATATAATTCCCAAGTTTTATTTATATTTTAAGATGCATATCTATACAATATTATGTTCTGTAATCCGGATGTTCTGTAATGGCCATTTCTAATCCTACTTCGTTTTACTGTGAAAAGGTATAGGGAATTCCCCAGAACATTGATAACAGCTAAGTCAGGTAAGTTGATTTTCAGACATGTGTGTCCTGATTTTTTATTCATATCTTTTTATCAGATACTTTACTACATAAACAATTGTCTTGTTTTCAATATTGTTGAAATATTAATGGAAGCGACGCGATATCGTAGGCCAAATACGAAAGACCAAAACAACCCGGATGTTACAATGTTTTTGACTCGTACTTGTTCACGTACAACCATCATGTGATGAAAGTTGTCTTGTCTTATAAGTTTACCACAGTTATAACTCGTGTTGATTAAAATGATTTACATGTAGTTGATATAGTATTTGCGAATATAATGTATATTCTTTTATATATTCTCATTTGGAGTTCAGATGTGTAGTTGGTGTGTTCAATCGCTTGTTTACCACTTTCATAGCTAGTGTTTAAGTCGAACGTCTACGTGTTGATGCCCTCGTGATATTTACGTGGTTATCCCTTTAAGGTGTTTGTTAGTGGCGTTGACCATATTTGGTCATACCAGAGTCATTTTTACCTGTTTGTGGTGTTCTCTATATTGTGGGAGTGAGGGAAAGCGTGAAAGTGAGTGTATAACCGTACTTGGACTTGTTGGGTGAGTGATGATTCAGACTTCGCCAAAAATTCTGTTCAATTTAATACAAGCATAACCTTTTAATAATCAGTCTTAATCTTGAAATTTGACATGACAAGTTTTTTTATGTTATCCCCCCATTTACAGGGGCTAATCTCTATCTTATACCAAAATAAATAAGCAGTCAGCACGGGAATCATGGGTTGTATTTTATTCATGTGACATGTAGATCTATATACCTAACAAAATCCTGCAAAACATACATGTGATATTGGTAATGGATTCTATTATTTCTTATACATAACTTTGTAATAATTGCAAGAAACATTCTTGACTGGTTTCATTCCCAAATTCTTCTATTTTATAATACACTGCTCTGTGACTTTTGGTATAAAATTGTATTTGATGTTATTGTAATTATGACATCATTCGGTGTCAGATATTCTAGAAAGGTACCAAACAAAGTGGATGAGACAGAAAAGTCTGAACTGGTAGCATGTGAGATTTCACTATCTTATGTATGAGAAAAACAGATTTTAAGACCACTGAGGACATTAAGATATAAAAACACGCCATTCCATCAAAAGCATTGAAAAAAAATAATCAAGAAAAACAATGTATTGTACAAGTTGAACCTTTAAAAAAAATTGATAGTACTAAAAGTATAATGCTATAGCTTCAAGTTGATGCCATTAATTGATATATGTATCCATTACCACCATTTCTTATTATGATCACTATGTTTTTTAATTTCAGATAAAGTCCTAAACAGCCATGGATTACCTTTATTTGTAAGTAAGCTGTATCAGGGGTTCAAGGATTTTATTATCAAGTGTGAATGAAAACTGATGTATTATGTTTGTACTTATGACTGCAGCATGTAAAATAGATAATGAAAAACTATTAGTAGATATAAATTGGAGACAAAGTTTACCAATGAATATGACATGCCATACATATATTTTCCTATACATGTCACATGTTTATTATAAGGTCTGTTCATGACGGTATACAAAAATGTACTTTTTCTAAGTACTTTTGTACTTGTTAAAGAAATCTTGATCATTCAATTTTACAGGCAGTCTTACATCAGAATCTTAAATTAGTTAATTACTGTACAAAAAGAGCTTAGTACTCTCTGTTATGGAGAAAAGCTTAAAGCTGTACAACATATATATAAGAGAAGACAGAAAAAAATCTCTTAAGTTATATCCCTATAAAAACTCAGTTAAAGTACGAAAAGAAAAATTGATGACATAGGTCACAGCTATGATTTCAGCTAGTATAAGTGTATTTACAGAAGTCTAGAATTAGGATATTTGAGAGTAAATAGCTATAAGGGGATGGAAAGTATCATTTCGTGGTATATATGTACCATATTCGATCCATAAAACACCCGTGTACCTGTATATGCATCCCTTCCTTGTGTTAAAGGTTCCTAACCTAACATTCACGTCAAATTTGGTACTCATCATTCTGCCCAATCAAAGAGGTTTTTAAGTATCCTCTATTATGTAATTCCTTTGTTTTAAGGTCGTTTAATTTTAGAGACTAGAGATTGGTCCAATTCTGATATGTAAAAAGGAAATCTGGAAAAATCATTTACCTTGTGCAAAGTTTTAAAATGCCATTAATTTTGACCATAATTTACATACCAAGACAGTTTGATGTATAAATGATATTGATATATGGTGTTATAATGCATCATGTTTACTTTGTAGTATTTTGGTGGTTCTGGTGTTCCTGAAAGTGTTGTTCTGGATATTTTACTTTTATGCACGCTCTCAGCGCCTTAGAGCAAGGAGGACTACCCAGCATAACTTTTTTGTTGTTGAAAGAACAAGACACATTGCAACTGGTGTCACTCATGTAAGTAACTAGTGTTAAGTTTGTAATGGTCAATTAAATTTAAAATCTATGTTCATCGTGATATCTCAAAATCAATCCTACCAATTCTACACTCACATTAAGTAGAAAATATGTAGTGAAAATATTTCTCTAACACCACATAGGTGCATTCCTGTGTTTGCTAGAGAAATCTTTAAAAAGACACTAGAAATTGTCCTTCATGATAAGTTAATTTGATGTTTTCATGTCACCATTAGATTTTACATTATCAGTATTAACACATATCTTCCACGGGTAATTTAGGATGGTATACAGGACAAGCAATACGCTAAACAACATACAATATATTTTGATTCATATTTGTGAAGAAAAAATAAAAAGGTCTCTTGCTTTAAGCATTATAAAATTTCCTCTTTGGGTTCAGATGGTTACTCCATATCATATTAATCATTATAATTAATTTCTATCAAACTATTTGAAAACGTCACCACCTATGACAATTCTTCTGATGAGTTCACAGTTTAGGATTTCAAAGTCATGGAAGGTTACTATTGCTATTTACATGTAAATCAACTTGAACATTCATACTTTATAATGATGTATATACATTTGAATCAGAGCAGGATGAACCTTGTCTTACAGATATTTGCTAGTTTAAGCAATGATGTAACCATCATCAGCATAATACCAATTATAAGCATTAGGCATGCTGGAATTCAAAATTATCAATATATCAACAATTAATCAATTGCTTTACCTATGAATTTGGCCCCACCCAAACTGATCCACCCAATAAACATTACTTGGTATTAAAAAGGTGAAATGTAACTTATAAACAAATAGAATTTCTTTAATAGATGAAGTCTGAAATTAAAAATCATGTCCTTTCAGATAAGATGATAGAATCTCTCAAATTTTTAATTAATTATAAATCTTAAATGTATACATATATCTACAAAATATTTATAAGTCTTTAAACTGGGCTGCAAAGAGGCATTAATAAAAGACAAGAAATCATTTTGATTACTCCATCTTATCAATACATTGAATATACAGGAGTGAAAGCAGTGACTTTAATACTATATACACCCAGGTACCCTGTTCAGCTTCATCATTAACATTAAATCTGTTAAATCAGTTTGGATGTAGTTGACAATGTATTTTCTTTTTTATTTTGTAACAGGACCAAGCAGGGATAATACAGAATGAACACCCTCAGGCCTACACAAACCCACCTGGACCCCAAAACTTTCCCCAGCCACCGTCCTACAATGAATGTGTGAGCCAGCCACAGACAGAATCCAAACCACCGTCATATGAGCAAGTGATTCAAGGTCAAGGTTCAACAAACCTTACAACTCCATATGCAGCTCCACCCACTGTCATTACATCCGGTCAGAATGAAGTACCCTCACCGAATCCTATGTATGGCTACAACCAGTAACAGCGAATGCTTCATTATACTTTGTCCCTGTCTTCTGTTCTTGCTTCTCAAACACGATGATAAGATGTGTATGTATTCATGGACTTTCACTCAATAGGGTATATGATAAAATAATGCTAGCTTCACTAATGGCTGTAAAACAGCGCTGTAGATATACAAGTCATAACAGTGCTTTGTCTTAGCTGAGAAAAGATGTACAAGGTAATAGCTTGACTAGACGGTGTTATCTGGACCAGATATAGATATATGTAGAGGATTCTAGTTCACAGGGACCTCACCATTAACACTATTCTATAACACTGAACTATCTTAGATCTCTTTACTCAGATTATCTCATCTTATTGTTTCATATTTACTTATTTTTGAAACCATTAATTAAAGTTTATTCACAAAGTGTTATATAAAAATGTGGGATATCAGATATCTGTGTCAGTTATCGGCCTATGATTGTCAGGTGTATTCTAAATCTGTGATATTGTGTTTGGCTGTATCTGACGTATTCATATACATTGTATATCACATTGAAACTATAGGAGTCATTGTCAAAGAATGTTTGCAAATAAGGTATTCATTCAAGAAATATTGAAACCTATTTGTTTTGATGTGAGTCATGTATCACTCAATTTGCAATTCTTGATGTCATTTTGAATTTGAAATTTGAATAGGGCATATATTTCAACAAAAACATTTAAGGTACATAGGATGCATTTCTTTTATCACTGGTCAGTAGACTGAAATATAATAGTTAAAAACATTGTTCATATCATGTAAATAGTGAAATTGTATACAAAGAAATTGAAAGATGACAAAACTTGTATGGCATGAAACAGAAAAACTTTAAATATCATGTATTTTTAGGATCTATATATTTTAATAACAGATGATACAATTCTATTTGAATGATAGTGGGCAAGGCACAAATCATGAAAGGAAGATGCTAATAATAGGCTATAGGTAATTTAATCATGGATTAGAATCTCAAATACATCACTTGTTAATGCGGAGTACTAAGGAGTTGTAAGGAAGGTGTACACTGGTGCTTTGGATAATCAGTATGTGAATGTCCATCTTACTTTAGGTCATAGTACACAGTTGCTTTTTTGAAACAAACTTTGAATGTCTTGCCAGACTGTTAAGGATTTCCTTCATAATCACATCAAAACTTCGAATGTCTTGCCAGACTGTTAAAGATTTCCTTCATAATCACATTTGAATAACAAGAAAACAATAGTTGTTGAGAATTGTTCTTAAAGGATGATAAAAGTACAAATAGTTGTAATGAAGGAGTTTTTAATACAATATTTACTGATATGGTAAAAACAAATCTCTATTTTGCTAAATAGTCAATTTCAGCAATCATTTGGTTGAACAAATGCCTGAAAGTTAAACAAAAGATGCATCATTTTCAAGTTTGTTATCCCATGTCATGTCACATTTAACTTTTTGAAGGTATGACTTGTTTGAATTTTGGGAAAGTGACTCAAAAACATTAATGTTACCATCAAAAGAGATAATATATATTCTGTCAAATTAGAAAAAATAATTATATAGATCGGGTACATTTCACTCATTTTCATGGGAAACATTGCTATCTTGTTGGCAAAGGTCTGTATGATTTATTCTCTGTTATCTTACAGCGATTATATTTGATATTGATATGTAGCTATTGAATGTTCATATGTAACGGAAGCTAATGTTACAACAACGAAAACTGTCATCCATTAATGATTTACAGTCGGAAGTAAAACAAGTATTTCCAGCTGTAAATTTACCTCATAATTATGGTGGGATTTTTTCACAGAGGTTTGTAGTATCACACTTCATCTCATCCTCAACAATTAACAGTCTTACCTATGTACACAGTATGTGCTGACGATGTAAAATGTCTGTTGTTATCTAATGTTACCTTACCATATATACATCTAATTATTTAGAATCTTGGAATATTACATTTATTATGGTCATAAATGTGTACGAAATCCATACAACTTTCATTGATAAACTGTGTCTGAAAAGTCTATTCTCAGATCATTGATTATGAATTTTGTAGTTCAGAATCATGTATATCATTGATATGCTGAAATTTCAATATTAAAATAATGTCTCACTTTACCATTCATAAACCACATTATTCACTATGTATAGTTTGTATTCACTGGTATAAAATCAGTGTAGGAAACATTTCAATGTTCTTCAGAAAATTTATTCATATTTATTCTATTAAGTAACGGTAAATGAACAGAGATATAACCATATACCTTATAAAGTACATCACTTTTGTGAAAGAAATTAGTCATATTTTTGGAACATATTTTAACCGGATTTGCAAGTGGTATGAATGGATTTTAATTCAAACATTGATAAAACTGTGTTTTTGGTGCTTTATAGGAAGAATAAACAAAAGTAGGATTATGTTGTGTAGAAGTAAATAATCTATCGACTTATAAGTAAACTGTAACAACAAGCTGGTTAGTTACCTTGTACGACAAGAAAATACATGTATATATCCATGCACATGCATATACACCATATTGCGAATGCATGCAAGTTAGTATTAAGCATTTATGCAAAACCATAATGAAATTGCACATGAAAAAGTACCAGTAAGTTGTTAAAAGTCATTGCAAGTGCAGAAGTCAGTTGAATTGATTTTCTATAAAATATATCTGATTTTCAGAAGTTAACTATTATAAAAACAAACAGAATAAAATATATTGAGGATTTCTTATACTTTCCCATTTAAAATCTTATATATGTTTCCGAAGTATGTGAGATTATCTTGTTGTGAAAAAATTAGGGATATTATGTAGTATGAGTGGAATATATATGATATTAAATGGGAAACCATTGAATTTTCTTTCCATAACATTTTTAAAAGAAAATTTAATAAAAAAGCAACAAAAAGTTTGGGAAATATTAGTGCACTCTTTGATGTAAAATATTTTGATGTTACACTTGACATCAAGGTGACAGCATTTTGAATAGGTTGCTTTACGTTGTGTTCTACTATTTTATCTGGTAAGAGTTGTTGTTTTTATATACCAAAATAAGGAAAACGAAAAATGATCAGGGAATTGTTTGATGGAACAACAACTTATTTAACCTCTATTTTTGTCCGAACTATCAAATTAGTGAAATTCATTTCAGTGACTAGAACAAGCGCCACAATGTTTGCTCAAAACTGCGAAAGTTTTATCATCACTATAAATGTTATTTTATCACTGCAGTAATGATGTAGACTTTTATGGAAAAGAACTACATTATGTGTATGTCAAATGAATTAACATAATCATACTAACTCCAAACAAGTGCAAAATACATGTTGTAAAATGCAACAGCTGACCCTGTGGGCGGTGCTACTCCTCTGTCAGTGTGAGTTGACCAGTATGATACTACTTTAGCCCATATTGGCTTCAGTGTAGAATCCAATGTAACAATTGGTATAATTGATAAATTTATGAAGGTGTTTTTCACTGTAATGTACAGTATAGATTTGGTCTGTGATGCCTACTCTTTGCTATGTGTTTATGGTATCAGTGATATTTATTGCATCAAACATCACTGTATACTTTTATTACGGTCGTTACATGGACTCTCTACTGTGGTTAGTCATTGTTTTATTAATTGACAAATAATTTCAAAATAGAACTGGCTTTGATGTCATTGTGTTACACGTGGCTTTGATGTCGGAACTTTCTGTATTCAGCTAAAAATGTGACCAGTAGCCTTACATATTTTAAAACTATTCGAAAGAAAATGTGACAAGTAGTCTTAAATATAAAATTATTCGAAAGAAAATGTGATTAATAGTCTTACACATTCTAAGATTTTTCCAAAGAATATACATATGGAGTAGTATTAAATTATTGTAAGTAAATGCGATGATTTGTCTTATTTCAAATGAAAATTGATCCTTTTTTATAAAAGTAGGTTGAGGCTCAGTTCTTCAATAAATTGGTAACTAACTACAGTGTGTCGTATCCATGGTGGTCACTTAGCGGTTTAAATAGATCATAGCTGATACTTATAGCCCAATGCTACACTAATATAGCCTATGCATACTATTCTCTGCTATGCTATGCTATACACATTTATGCAAAGGGTGATTTTTAGGCTGTGAACCGTCCAGAAAAGTAGCTTGGTTGTGGGAAGATATTTACAAAATGTTGGGAGAAAATTGTTGATTTTATTCTTTAATACTGTCTTTCAAAAATGTAGTTTTATATGTCCTATTAAGTTTTAATTAAAGTTTATTGTACATAAATTCAAACGTGATCTGGCATTTTACTGAGCATATGTGGAGTTTTCTGTCATCTCTATTTATATAAGAAATCTAGAGGGAACCAGCTTCATTTTATGTAGAATGTTTGTATATAATTCTAAATCACTTGGTCATCTAGCACAAGGAATAATACCTTGATGTTGTGTTCTTTTACATGGGATGGATGAATTAGCTCATGATGATTGAGAATATATTTGTATTGCTAATACTGGACAATTTCAATAACTCCCCTACCAGTTTGGAGAAATGGAGAGTAGGAGATGGAGGGCATATAATGTTATCCTTGTATCTATTTGTCTGTCCCATCTGTTCCCAGCCCAGAACACTCATCCGTACTAGCTTCTATTAAAAAGCATGATAATGATTAATTTGTAATGACTAATTTACATGTAGATCATACATTATTTTATAGATGTTACTAATGGTCTGAAGATATCCTTTCTGTTTAGGTATTCTTGTAAAATATGCTTGAAAATAACATTTTAATGAAGATATTATCATTGTTAAACGCATTTTTTTTAATTCACTTTGTTTTAGTTTTTCAAGATAATTCACATCTACGTAATGTATGTTGCACTGCTTGTTAGTTTTAACAAAAAACTTAGCTACCTAGAATTTGAAATGTCAATGGATGAATGAAAAGCCATGTTTTTTTGTGTATTTTATCTGAATTTTTCATTTTGCTTTAAGATTAAGTGATAATTATAATGATTATTTTAAAGTTGTATATAATGTAACATGTGTTACCTATATGGCTCCTTTGGAGATATATGATACCCTAGCTGGTTCAATGAATAAATTTGTTAACAATTGGTGTAGTTTCTGGTCATTATATCCCCACATAGAGATGCCTTTGTCCTATATTACCATTGTAATAAGTTTGTTCATCTGTCCGTATTTGTTTTCAACACTATAATGTAAGTATTTTTTGTCAGATTTTCGCCATATTTGGTATGTGGCTTTATATGCATGATGTCTTGCACAGGTTTGATAACCAGTGAAATCCGTCAGTATTTACAAGAGTTACAGGTCTAGCCGTTTTATTTCTAGTTCAATGTTCTCCAAATTTGGTACATGGTCTCATATTTCATGGATTCGTTGAAGTGAAATTTATCAAAATCTACAAGAGGTATGAGACTTCGAATGCTGAAAATTGACCACTTTATTACTTACTGCCAACAACTTACATAATTGTAATCGGATGTTCTACAAACTTCATGTGTGGGTTCATATTAATAAGACCTCACATGAGTCTGATAACCAGTGTTATCCAACACTATTTGCAAGAGTTTTTGTTCTTGGAATGCTGAAAATATACCATTTTCTCACTTTCTTCTCACTGCATTTTTGCAGTCGGATCTTCACTAAATTTGATATGCGGGTTTATGTACACAAAACATCACATGGATTTGATTACCATTGGAATCTCTTCATATCTTCAAGAGTTATGGGACTTTTAACACTGGTTTAAATGATCACCATGACGTCCCTCACAAGTGTTCTTGATAAGTTTTGGCGTTGATCGGAAAATCCTATATGGCCGTCATGGCTTCTGATTGGCTAAGACTTTTTCGACTTCTTCTCAAGAACGGCATGTGCGATTGTTTTTTTTAACTTTGTAAAAATGATTCTTATGAAGTTCCAAACAAGTTATTTCTTATGCAGATCGGAATATCGAAATTGGCCCCCGTGTCTTCTGAGTGGCCGAAACATTTTATAGTTTTTTCTCAATAATGAATGGTGTTATGGATTCCTAACTTGTTACAAAAGTATCCTTATTAGGTCACGACTGTGCAGTTTTTTATGCTGGGCTGGTGTATGGAACTTTCTGTGCCATAGCTTATACGCGGATCCTTTCCTCGACATTGGTATCGTTGTCATTTTATGTTAAACAATAAAACATGATCAGTAGTCACCGATGCAGTGAAAGCTACACAAATCCGCAGTAATGTTTGATCATTTGATTGTAGCAAATGCAGAGACATTCCTTCTGATACAAAAACCAAGCTAATGGCAAGTGAGACAATATAATCCTAGTACTAGCCACACTTAATATACCGTTCGACCAAAGAAAACAGCTCTTTAGCTCGATCGGTTGAGTGTCAGACTAGTAAGCCAGTAGCCTCGAGTTCAAATCGCAACTCATAAGTGAAGTTGATCGTAAAACCGTTTAGCTTCCATGCATCTCTCGTACTGTTATAAACGGGCTGTTATCATTCACCTTTAATAAAAAGTTTTTTGTATCGTTAACCATATAAAGACGACCAGTTATAACCCACCTGTTATCACCCTCACTCACCATCTTAAAACGTTCCTACCGTTTAAAATCGTTCCTGTTATCACCCTCCCTGTTAGAATGGCACTGTTTTCACTCACCAACTTAAAACGTTCCTACCGTTTAAAATCGTTCCTGTTATCATCCTCCCTGTTAGAATGTCACTGTTTTCACCCACCAACTTAAAACGTTCCTACCGTTTAAAATCGTTCCTGTTATCACCCTCCCTGTTAGAATGGCACTGTTTTCACCCACCAACTTAAAACGTTCCTACCGTTTAAAACCGTTCCTGTTATCACCCTACGGGTTAAAAGGCCATGTTGTCACTCTCACCGTTCAATGAAAATAAAGCAATAAATAAGCCCGCGACACTTTCTTTTAATGCCAGCAATTCTCAGCCATATAAAAAAAACAAAACACAAATTCTGAAGGCTGTGGTGGTAAAGAAAGTGCAGCATCACACAATTGCCTTTTTGCCTCTAAATTATTCTTAGTTATTTAACCACTAAATTATCACCAGAACAAAAGTAGAATTTCAGACACTTTGGATTTCTACACTTTATGTCAGAACCCTTTTTCAGGTAGTCATCAGGTAATTAGTTAAACCTTTAAATAAGAAATAAAAATGTTTGTTGTTCAGAATCGTTTAAATTATTTTACTGTTCAGAAAAAAAATGAATGAAATGATGTTTTCATTGTTAGACATGGCCATATCTTTGTCAGTTTGACTGACAAAAATTGGTATTGCAAATAAGCGTTGTACTAACATAAATGGATACAGAAACGTTAAAGTATTTGCTTTTGATAACACTGTACCAACTCGTCAACAGATTTTTAATTCAAACTCAAATTAATTTCAAAAGTTTGAAACTCTTTTTCTATTGAGATTAGCTAGTGATATTTTCTACCTTTAAAAAGACAATAAAAATATTGATGGCTTTACATTATCCTGTATACAATACCCCCAGTTGAACAAATTAAGCAAATCTGTGCTGTTAGTTGGTCACACAATATCCTTTATCTAGTGTTACACGAGAGTTAGATACATATGTACTACACCCTAAATGTGGTTTAAAATATGATTTTTGTAACTTTCTTTTTCTTCTAGAAGGTCCTTAAGACATTTTTCAAAGTTTTGATTTCGATAGAATTTTCCCTGATATTTTGCAGGTATCCAGCATTTAAAAAGAAACAAGTTATGTTGCAATTATGTCCTGATACAGACAATATTTTGAGAACCAAATGGACTGGACTATAAATCGAAAACGACTGAAAAATCAATCCAGAATAAGCCCCTCCCATTTGCCGCATGCTATAGAAATACGACATAAGAATGGACATTACTACAACATTACATTTATATCTAGATTTACTGTAGTAGTATATCATATATTCTAGGGCGAAATCTACCTAATAGCATTCACTGTATCGGAAATTCATTACAACACCAAGAGTTATCTTCCTTCTTACGCGCGACGCATGTTCAACTACTTGGTCTTAAAACGATAATAACTTGCATAATTTGGGAGAAAGTGCTTTCAAATACGCAGTGTCTATTAGAAGACATCATGTTAGGGCGGAGTGTTTGCATACTTACAGACAATCGACTGTTCCTGATTTTATTAAGCTTTATTTCATCTTATTTTAAAATATTGCAATCCTTTTTGAGTAACACAAAACATTCTCTGTCATACGATATTCCATATACAGACCTGACTGTCCATGAACAGATAAATCAACTCCCGCCGAAATGTTGATACAAAACCTGAACAATACCATGGTGTGAAAAATGATCTAATCGGTCGATAAAGTGTAAAAGTAACAAAGACTTCCAAAAAGTATTCTAACCTTTCACCTTTAGTGTAAAATCACAGTGAACAAACGGTAGAGTACTGCTCATCTGCTTTAGGCGATCTAGGTGTACGTCAGCTTTCATGACGATATTTATAACGATTTAAATGTAGTCGCCCGCCAAAGTTTTTTTAAAATAACATTTATTTCATCTTTAACCTTGAGGTCAAGGTCACAATAACCAAACTTCAGTGCACAGCACATCAGCTTTAGGAAATAAGGTTTTAAAAGTTATAGCC